AAAATCCCTAAAACCATACAAACAGATTGATTCAAACAACTGGATAAAATAAAATGAGGTTCACCAAACTCTTTCTTAAAAACCTTCAATCTGTTGTTTTCAGAAAAAAAAGCAACAACAAATAAATAGCTCTGGTGCAAGTAAAGTTGATTTTGTGACAGTTCAGTTTTTGTGACAGTTCAGAGTTCTTTTTAAAAGTAGCTGATCTGCTAAAAACACTGATCAAGAAAGTAAAAAACCACATGGCAACTGCAATAATGTGTGCAGAGTAAACTACTTTATGCATGTACTATAGTCTATCACTTCATTTCATTCATTCTTTACATTCATTACACTGTTAGTACAGTACAGGCGTGAAACCACTAATGGTCATTGTTGAAATTGGCTATATATATATTTTTTTTTTGATGAAGGCTCTGATAAGTCTCTCAAAATAAAGGTTTAACATGTACTAGTTTCTTTACTCTCTAGAACCACAGCCACATTTTAGGCAATGGCTGCCAATAGCCAGTTGGCATTATTTGAACATCATTCAACTATTTCAACATAAAGACACCTCAATGTCCACATCTAGATGTACATCATCTAGAAGAAGGTATTTACTAGTCCTTGGCATGTATTTACCTTCATACAATCCCTTTGACACTAAATTAATTCAAGTCCCTCATACTTCACGTCGCCAATCTTAGTTTCAGGAAGCAGGATTCGGCCGTCCAGGGTGAACGCCACAATGTAAGTGACAATTTTTTTCCTGCATCCTCCTCAGACTTTAGAGCAACAATAATCTGATCATCTGTGTCGGGGACAAACTTAAAGGATGAAAAGCCATGCATAGGGTTCAGGGGCCCAACGTTTCTCACTTTAATGTCCTGGAAGTCTGGCGAGCAGCTGAGCATTAGATTGGTGCCCCGCCGCTCATCTGCTGTCTCATCATATCGCTCGCTGCTAGCACGTCGTGGCAGGAAGAACCAGCGTTGTAATGTGTCGCTCCAAGCTGCAGACTCGTGTATGAGGTACCCTGAGATGACAATAGAAAGGAAATGAACAGGGACTGGAAATAAAGCATTAATTCTTAGCTACTGAATACTAGTGAATCTCACAAGACTTTTAAGAATGTGTCATGGAAGTCATATTTTACCCCAAAGTTAGAAAACAAAATAAAAATGCTATGACGAAAATTAAGTCTGTTTATTATGAAAACATTCTAACTTTCAGAATTCAATGAGATATTCCAAGTGTAGTCCAGTGTAAAATGGGATGTTTGAAAAAACACACAACATGATTGCTGAAATACTATTAGGGAAAATTATATTCTGTTCATTATATGGTAAACTCGACCATCAGACCAGCATTTATTAGTAATATTTTACAAGATTTATCCTGCTTACTGTCAATGGTGTGTACTTTAAATGGCTTATGTGCTCAACTGCACACTAGACGGAGTGGAACTTGGGTGTTAAGACTACAAGAGCTCTTGACAAAAGTTATTGTTATATCAATGCCACTTTTAAAATACAAAATTCACCACTCAATACAAATGCACACTGCATGTAAGTGAAAGGCTGCTGCTTACCAGGTGGGCTGATGCCTGCAGCGCTGCGGAGAGCGTTATACTTAGGAACCCAGTTCTGGTGCTTGTACATCTCCGTGGAATCCCACCACTTTTACCCACTCAGGATTGTCATTCAGCACTTCTCCGTTGGTGGTGGTCCACTCCTTCCCCAAACCCCCAACATATAGGTGCTCATCCTTTACTGCAAGCCACTCGGCCTTAAACCCTAGAGAACGTCAGAAAAAACCCCACAACTGAAATCAAATATCATGTTTGAGTTGATTGCTTTGTATTTCATCATTATACATTTATTTTAATAGTTTCTGACTGTTACCGTGTAGTCAGCCCATGATGAAATGCTAAATTAAATTATTTCAAATGTAAAATGAAGTCCTTAAAACTTAAAGTCCTTAAAATGTGTGTTTGGGGGCTGAATATTAAAGCTACACTACACTCTCACAAAAATTGTTCAGCTGGGAATGTATCCTCAAAGTGACACCTTTGTACCTTCTTTACCCCTAAAAAAGGGTGCATAGTACCATAAGAGTACAAACTACCTTAAGGATACACATTACTACTCTAAGCTACTAATATGCACCCTTTAGGGATAAAGAAGGTACAAAGGTGTCCCTCTGAGGGAACTGCCCCAGTGACAAGTTTTTGTACACCTAAAGGTACAAAGCGTGCATTTTGTGCACACTGTTGGCCCTCTAGCGGTTGAAGCATAAAACTACAAGTCACTGAGAAGCATTGTTTTGGTAATTACAGCAGTTGTGCTTCGGCTCCATTATTCTGCGAAGATTAATCTAATGGTATGAGGTGCACTGCTATGCTCACGGTTACAGGTGATCGCCATATCAGTGTGAAGGTCTCTCCCAATATGTCTAATAAGCAGGTAGATCATATGCTGCTATTGGTTTGACTTGTTGAAATCAATTTTGTTGCAAAAGTTGGTCATCTTGACATTAGACATAGCGACTACTATTCATATCAGATAATGGAGGATAATATAACTTGGTAAGGCTATTTATAGGCAAATAGACCAACACGATAACTGGTTAAGAGATTGGTATTACTGGCATATTATCCTTTCCTTTCTCTCACAAACTCTTTTTTGGCTTTAAGTTACTTCCACTGCTTATAGAAGTAGCCTGACCTTCATTCCTTTATATACAGATATGACGTTAACACACACAGACAAGAGATGAAAGTATGCAGTTTTCTTGGAAATCTGTCCCAACAACTCAAACTATAAATAATTTTTACAGGTTAATCACAGTGATTTAGGGTAAGGCAAAACACAGTTTGGAAAATGGTTTTATGATGTACTCGCTCAAAATTTAAATTTATGTGATGTAGTTTTACGTATTCAGTTCCCTTATCACTTGACCCTCAAGTCAGCGGAAACACTGATGGAATCTGTGAGAGGTACTGGTACTAGCACCATTTGTGGCCATTGGGGCAGTTGTGGCCTAATGTTTAAAGAGTCGGACTTGTAATCCGAAGGTTACAGTTTTGATTCTCAATACTGGCAGGAAATGTAGGTGGATGGGTGAACAGCGCTCTCTTCCACCCTCAATACCCACGACTGAGGTGTCCTTGAGCAAGGCACCTTATTGCTCCCTGGGCACTGCAGCAAAAATGGCAGCCCACTGCTCCAGGTGTGCACCCGTGGTGTATGCGTTCAATACTGCCCCTAACATGTGTGTGCACTAACTTGGATGGGTTACATTCTGAGGGTTATGGGTTACCATACTTAGCCTACACATCACTTTGAAAACATTTGGGCTTTTTAATTTTGCTGCAAAAACGGTACTTTAGCAACACGGTACCTCAGCGCTGTCAAAGGATGTCCTCGCCAGAGCATACCCACTCCTCTGCATCCAAAGCTGTCAATGACATGGAGTCATCGGTGACAGCTTCCTCCTCCGATCCACTGAAAGCTGCAGAGTAGGGGCACTGATTCTCACATGTGAAACAACACCGCCATGGAAACTGCTCTTAGCAAATGCTCTTTGAGATTGCCGGATGGCCTCAGGGAAAGCACTGATGAGAGGTGTCCTTCCTCTGCCAGGGATCTTCTACGGTGAGTAGCAGGCTTCGAGCTTCTTTCTTCTTCTTTAGAGTCCTGCGAGGAGATAATCTTCACATTTAAAATGTTGAAAACTAGTTGGAAATTAAATGTATAACAGCGACACCTAGCGGCGGATAGATGTTGTGTAGCCTAGTGGGTGACATCTGGGACCATTTTAGTTTCTGCACTTTGCCACAGATATGGAGTGCGACACTCATTCATTTTTCAGTTATCGGACAATCAATACGTTTTTTTTAATGACACTGAATATTTGACTATGCTTGCTTTCATAGAAGAAATTTTGTAATAAAAAAACATCTGAACAAATCTATTCTAGCCTAAATCTATTCCCACAAGCAAGCATTGTAATTTCAGTATGATCCAGTAGATGTCTTACCAGTCTCACAAGACCACTCCTGCATCCTCTTTATGTGAGCAGTCAGTAACACCCCAGCCTTTGAAGCTGCATTCAGACAATGAGCTCTCTGTTTACAGTTCGTTCATGTCATCCAGCCAGATTGGACCAGAACCTAAAAAGTATAATAGAACACGGGTCAAAAATAAGACTGTT